GTGAATTCCGCGCCATTGACGCTGCGTGCCTTGTATCGTAATACGACCAATACTAAAATCCTAGTTCTTCTTCCTTTCTTTTTTTTTTTTCAAATCCTAATTCAATCACTACAAATCAAACTTATTTGGCTGTGGAAATTACTGAGTTCTAGCTCAATTATGCACTGATCATGAATAAATGCTGTATTTTTCTTTTTTTTTTTTTGGGTTGGCGAGTATATTCTTACACTTTAACATTCCTTGACCATTTCCGACAAATAAAAGAGCAAATCAATGGAAAGAAATGATGGGTACTTTTTTTGGGCAAGGTACGAACAACTTATAAAAAAATACTTTTTCGTAAATATAATTTTTAATTAATTTTTTATTTTATATATATCAAATGATCATATTAATTTTTTCATCAAAAATTAAAAGAAAATACAATACAAACGTAACCTAGAGATGGAACTTTCAGGCGACTGGAATTTGTCGTGGTGAACTGATGACTGTTAATGGGTATGGGCATCGAGTGTACTTTGATTTAGGGTACTTCTACGAAATTTGTCAGATGGGGAGTCAGTCCGTCAATTCCAATCGCCGTTCGAAGCTATCTAGAAACTTTGACTAGGAGGCTCATTTCAAGTGCATATTATAGTGCCCTTTTCTGGTTATACTAGAGGGAACCTGGAACCAGGATGTGCAAGTATAACCTAGGCCCACCTACGAAATTCAAACTAAAATGAGTCTAAAAAATAAAGTTTATTTTTAATCGAATGTTTCAAAAGTTTGTTTCAACTTGCTTATCGTGATGTTGTAAAGAGTTATCTTGCTGTATTGTATATATAATATATTTTTGTATTATATAGACAAACAACAGCAAAAGATTCAAAAATCAAATACATGAGAATTGAGAAATGGAAAATCAATTCAATTAATTAATGTTAACATAAGTAGGATTTACTCATATAAGATTAATTTTTCCTAGCGTTGAATAAATGACAACTATGTAAAATTTAAATTTAAAATTTAATTTTTGTATACATGTCATGAATCCAACGGTGATTGTGTTTGGATTGTCAATTATTTCACTTTATTTACACCTTATTTACACACACTGATTTGCTTGCATCATCAACATATTTTTCAATCATCTTTTTATCTCACATACATCATATCAAAAAAATACTACAGTACTTTTTCACAAAATTATCTCAAATAATTTACAATCCAAACACTATACACTATCAGTGTATATAAAATTTACTCAATGATATATGCTTTATAAAGCTCAAATATCATGCTATTATAATTACAAATACATAAAATTTCACCGTTATTTCTTTCTCAAACAAGACGCCATCATGTAAAAACTACCATCTTACAGATTCACAACAAAACTTGCAAGAAATTCGAACGGAAGACTTTTCAATGCATAAAAAGGGTACAAAAATTCATTACCAAAGAATTACTAAAAAAAAATGCAAGATTCAATTATACATTGAAAAGGAACTATAACATCATAATTACAAAATACAAATTTTGCATTTAGATTTAAAATAACCCTTACAAAAGGAAAATCAACTTGCAGAACTAAAATAATGAAAGATTAATGAATATTAAGGAGACCAAACTAAAATAAAAATTACACCATGGTAAAATAATAAAGAGGCAAAAAAAAAGAAAAATGATAAAGGCTAAATAAAATATGGTTAACAAAAAAAATTAAACCCATATATTGGCAGCGTGAAATGGGAAAAAAAATAGGAATAAAAAAATGGAACATACCAGACAGTAAGAGTAGTAGTGGTAAAAAATCTATTGCCTATATTTCTCTTTAAAAAAATATAGAGATGATTATGAATCATGATTTTGGAACAAAGGAAGAAAAGAAATATCCATTCTCGTATAAGAAAAAAATACATTCGGTTAACTCTAGAGGAAAAAGAAAAAGATGCATCGATTGAATAGAAGGAGGAAATGCAAAGAAAAATTAGAATGAAGGAAAAAAAAAAGAAGGGGAAAAACAAAATATTGGATTAAAAAGTTAAAATTGATGGAGTAAGACATGACAGTAAAAATCGGTTGATCAGTTAACAATAATCACTTAAAAAAATAATAAGAAACTAATCCTAGTATAATTAATTATAAAGAAAAAATTGAAGGGAAAAAAGGAAAGATGAACAAAAAAGAGGGAGATGAGGGTTCAAAGCAGAAGCAGAAGGAGGAAGAAGAGAAGAATTAGGAAGAGTGATGTTTTATGATTTTTGACAAATAAAAAAAACAGTGAAGTAAAAATTCAACTAAAAACTAAAACTACCACTTATTAAAAATATAGACAATATATGTGTTAAAAAGATGGGTTGCTACAGTAAATTGACCATTTTCTTATATACAAGGTAGATAAGTGTATTTCTCACAAAAAAACATGTAAGTGTGAAAGGCTGCAAACCGTAGGAGGATGTAAGTGCGTAATGCATATTACAAAGAAAGATTTATCTAGATGTAAGTGTGTTTATTACAACAATAATTTTGTTTATTTATCTAACTCTATTCAACAGCTAGTTAGTATTAAAATATAAATGTGAAAAAAATACAAAAGTAATTATGAAACGCTCAAAAGCATTTATTTGGACCATTATAAACCAAAGGACGAATTAGATATAAATCCAAAGATCATAACATATATTAAGTGCAAATAACTAATAATATGTATAACTAATAAATTTAACTAATACATTAAGTGCAAACCTCCGTCATATTATGAAATAAAGTATGCAAATAACAAATATACTATGAAAATGGAGGTGATGAAAACAAATATACTATGACATATTTGTTTGTCATTCTTTGTCTTTGGAGCCGGTAATAAAAATCGGAGGTGAAACGTGCTTTATCATGATCGCCATTGTACTTGGATGCAAACTCACTCCTAGAACTAAAAACATGTTCAGGTACAACATTCTACCAAATAAATAAAAATAAAAGAAAAACCTCCTTGCAAAGCAGAATGACATAAACCCTCGTACTTCCAGCAGGGGTGCTTCTACGGTAGAAAGTGAGATGAACTTCCCACTGTGGACAGAGCCACCACAATCAGAGCATCTACAATGCTATTACACTTTGTGGAGTGTAATTCACATGCCACGTCAGCATTCTACTTTCTCCTCTTTTATTACACTTTCACTCACAATGGATTACACTCCACAAGGTGTAATAGTATGGGTCCACAATTAATCAAATATTTATTTTAATAATGCATAACTCATATCCCATAAATAAATAAAGTAATTTTTAAAACTAATTTTGTTATTTTTAAAAAATAAAGTACTAACTTTCTTTAAATTTTGTACATTTTGAATTTTTTTATTTTCTAAAAATGATATTATTAATTTTTAAGTTTGAATAATATATATTTTTCTATGTTTCAAAAATAATATATTGTTATTTTTTTAAAAATAATTATATAGGAAATTAAACAAATATTTGATACTTCAAATGCGAAGATATCATAATAATCCATACTTAATTAATAATTCGGAATGTAATTAGTTGAACTCCATAACATAATATTACATAAGTTAAATCAAATAAAATACAAATAATAACAAAATGAATTACATAAGTTCAATGACATGATGCGTGTAATCTCCATGACACGGCTCCCCATTGGAGCCGTGTCATGGAGCGGTGTAATGGCTCTCCATTATACCCGCGTTGTGGCTGCCCTCACAACAACTCGATGTGGGACCATTGTCCAAGCCTTGTGGCTCCAACTAAGTTGAGGCAACCGACTGTAGTAAGTGAATTATGTAGTAAAAATAAAAAATAAAAAATGCGCGTGACTTTCTAAAGAACAACAATAAATAGATATATATTAGACTCAATTGATAAATTAATCATCATCGATTGTTGAATCATACAAATTAAATTAACCTTTTGTGATCATTATCACTATCATCGTTATTTATCCGTTAATAGTAATGGATTCTTTTTTTTGTTGAAACCCATACAGTGTTTTATAACTAAAAGTATAGGTATAGGTTTATATATTTTTTCCCTACTCTTTTTCTAATTTTTTTTCACTATTTTAATTTCTTCTAGTATTTTTTAACTTTTTATTGTTTATTAAAAATATCAATTACATTGGTGAGTAAATATTGATTCCCTATTAAAATAACAATCAATCACAAAATGAGCCTATGATATCCATTAAGTCATTCCGATTAAGTATTAACCTTAGTCAAATGATAAGTATTACTATGAATCATTTTGAAACTCATTCCTTGAGGAACCAACTTACCAAATGCCTTCTAAGTACATGAAACAAACTGGTTTATGCTAAACTTGATTGATAGCACAATTTGTGTAGATAAACTTTTTTGTGAAAATTCATGAAATATGTGATGCAATCCCCAAACCATGATCAATTGTAAGTAAGAAAAAGAAAAGTCAATGAATGATTGCCTAACTGATTCTCATGTTAATGCCTAAATCTTTTTTTAAATCTAGTAATATTTCATTGGTTGACACTTGTCACAATTATCATTTGTATCATGGTAGAAATTTTCTTTGGTTCTTTTCTTTTTATTCGAATAAAAAATTTATTTATGAATTTTAATTTTCACCCAGTTTCTAATTACATTTTTGTTGATAGTACTAACACTTACCACTTTCGTTAATTGCCATATAATGTAATTACATCTAAATTTCTAATTCTTTCATTTATCTTTTCACTCCACTTAATTAATTACCTTTCTACAATACTTATGAGTCATTATTTTTTTCGTTTCAAGTACAAAATGACAATTCCTTAAAGACTACTAGGAAATCTTTTTTTTTTTTGGAATAATTTCAGAAACCTCCCCTAAAGTTTTCGACAATTTCACTCGGCTCTGTTGAGATTTTCATAATTACGGAAACCTCACTTAGTGTGACAAAAAAACAACAATATCCTTCATTAATTGTCAATTCATTGAAAAACTCTATCAAATATTTAAGATTTTTCATCTATTATCAACTAATAATTCAAACGACAGTTTTTTTCAATTCCATTTCCACACTACAAGCTTTACAAGCGAGACCAGACGAGAGTCAAATTAAAAAAAGTACATTTTCCACACATTTCTTGCTAGCTGTGGATGCCAAAGTACTGGCTGTTGCATCATTTGACTCCTATACGCATTGTGCTGCAGCAAATACACGCGGATTTACAATTTCTACGGGCGCCACAAATCTTCTTCGGACCCATTTCAAACCTCTACTTACCGGAGTTCCTCCTAAGTATCCTTGCATGCGGTGTTGTCTCATCTATGTTGGCAGACTTACAAAAGGACACAGTAGCATCTCTATTTTTGGTTTGAACAAACCCGTCCAAACCACTATCAGGTCTCAACCATCACATAGTCGCCTGAACATGTGAGTTAGGACCCGTTTGATATTTGCGACAGCTTATTTAAAAATACTTCTCCAGTAGAACTTTTAATAAAAGTATTTGTTAACTGCTCAAGTGCTTTCTTTTTTAGCAAAGTGTTTTTTTTTTTTTTTTTTTATCAAAAGCACCGGAACCCAAACGGGGCCTTAGTAACTACCAAATTTTCTGAATGACTTCAAGAACCTAATCATCTTATCATACACGTCTTCCTTTGATCTTACACTCAGGAGGAAGTCTATGTGACCGTATTCCTCAAGAAAAAGCACCTCTGGCTGTCTTTTTAGTTCCTTCAGCGTGCGCTGCACATCAGTAACGTCAGCTAATGAATCGTTACCCCCATAAGCCATCCACAATGGTAAAGAATTCGGAATGCTGCTAACATCAAATGCTGGAGGCCAAAACCGTCCATAGCGTATCAGGTTCTTAAAGATTCCATAATCATACTTTCTGAAAGTACCTTCACGGATCACTGGAAAAAAAACACAATTCAATGGGTAGGAACTAGGAGAGTAAGAGCGAATGTATGAGAAAAAATGAGGAAAAAAGCTACACAGACTTAGCCTGATATAGCAAGTTTGAATAACTTCAGCAAACCAAAAGGCCAAAGACAATGATATCCTGCTAGTGCATACTTTGAAAAAGATGATTCAGATTCTTTGAGGATGTAGGTTGTGGTTCATATTCGAGATAGAAATTGATCCGGGAGTTGTTGAAGCAACAGTTCTTTCCTGAAAGGTTAATCCACCATTTAATAAGATACAGATGGCAATATAATAGTTTAACCATTCTAAACACTCGAATAATTACTTCCCAACTTGCTCTACAGTGCTAGATTGCTAGCAGAAAAGCAAAGCAGAAAAGTTTGTCATGAAAGGAATTTTTTTTTTAAAGGCCAAATAACAGAACATGAATAAGGACCTGTAACCGGAGTAAGCAACTCATTGCAATTCACATATTCACTGCATAATATGTCCATCATATGGGTGCTGCAGTCACTGAATAGATAACAGAACAGAAAGGATTATATAAACCGAAGATATGTGGAAACCTGACCGAAAGAAAGAGCCAAAATTAATAAGACCTTTTGAAATTAAGTTCATGAATGCCCATCACACATAACACCTGCTTAGAGAAAAATGACAACTTAAGCACACTGACAAATAAGCCCTGATGGGAATGCTCAAAAAGAAACCACACAAACCTCATCAATATGCATTTTCACTAATCTTAGGACAAAAGACGAACTTATATGATCCAAATATGAGATAGGAGAAAGAAGCGCAGCAGCTTCAACCATTGATACTATATGTGGTTGAGTAAAAGCAGCCAGAGACATTATTGTTCCCTGCAAAATAAAGCAAAGGACATCGAATATCAGAAAAACAAAAACCAACAACCAAATGAAGATATAACATATAGTTCTCAAGAGATTCAAGACCTGTGAATGACCAACAATAAATATTTTTGAGTTGGTGATGTTATAAATATAACGAGCCATTCCTTCCAGATCATACAGAGCCAATTCCTGCCAACTCCAATCCCAAAAATCCTAAAAACCAAGAGAAGAAACCATTAAAGCAAGAGGGTTCATAAAGCACATCTAGTTTATGCAAAAAGAATATTTTTGCTGCATCCCAAATCAGGACAAGACCATGCAGAAGTAACTTGTGAAATAAATTCTACACATAGAGGGGGGATGGTGGTCCACCACTCCTGCTCTTCCGAGCATTAACCATTTGATGGCTACGACTTCAAAGCAATTCATATTTATACCTTGCTTTTACCTGAGTAATCAAATCATGACAAGTCAATATATGAATGTAATTTGAAAACCTGTACTACATTACAATTTCCAACAGTTACAGAACTTAAAGATTATAACCAGATGTCAAAGACAAGCTATAAATACCTTGTCTTTTTCTGTCAGATGGACATGTCGACGACTCCAATGTGTCCCACGCACATTTCCAGCCCAAACATCAAAGCCATGATCAGCCAGGATAAACCCCAATGATTGATTTGGAGAGTTCAAGAACCAGGCATCACCTGCCTGTTATATTTTTCAGTTGCTCAATTGTTAATATACGAGACTGCTACCCAATCCTTTCTTTATATTACATTCACAAAATGGAAGGGGGGGAGGCGGGGAGGACAATTACAATTTCTGTGAGTCTAGATAAGGCTAATCATGCTTGTTAAAGATCTTTGTAATAATAAAGTAGCATTTCCTATAGATGCGAAAGCCATTTTAGCTTATAATTTTAACCAAAACCAAGATGCACGGACGAAATAATTTACAGCTTACACACTGAACTTTGACATAGTATTACTCTTACAGCTTGAATATGCACACATTTATGGAGGCACCAAAGCACTAAGAATGCTCAATTCCGATAAGCAACAAATCTAACTAAAGAAGATAGTGAACTGAAAAATAAACTTTTGTACCATAAAACAGTTTTGGCTGCACAAAGTAGCAACCGTAATGATGATTGGTAAATATCTTCCATAGAATTGGAATTTGAAAGAACGAATAGAGCTAAATTCAAATGTGGCCTCTCCACTATGATTTTTTTTTTTTTTCTAAAAAAAATAAAATAAAATAGAAATCATGTAAACAAATTATTTTAGGAGAGATTACCATCATTAGCCCGTGAAGGAGAAGAACTGGAGGACCGTATTGCCCTCTGAGATATCTGGAGTTAGATGCCACCCGCTGAAGTCCAAGCAAGTAACCATCATTTGTTTGTGCCTGGATCAACAATTCCACATTCTTAAACTAAATCACCTGCACGCTATATTTCAGAAAAATCGTCTACAGCTTAGTCACGCCTTCAATACGTAGGTAGACAAAAAAGTAAGATCAATGATTAATGAAATTTATTCATGTGTACCACTGTACACAAATACTATATTCAACAAAGAACGATACGTAGATAGAGATAGAGATTCTACGGTGTGCTCGGAGCAAGGATAGCCATAAGGTTGGATGAGGTGAGCACAGAGACCATCTGCCGGAGAATTGGGAAGGCGAATATATGAAACTCTGGCGGATTCTCCGGCTGAACTGAGGAGTAATACACTGAGCAACAAAACCGTCACCAGACGCTCCATTTTCAGGCCACTGGAGTGCGGAAAACACAGCGGAACGACGGACCAACGGGCTGGGACCTCCCGGGAGAGGAGAGTGTGGAGTCTCACAATGCTCCAGAAGAAAGATGCGTTCGCAGGAAACCGAACGAGACAGTCAAGGACCTGAGAAGCTCCGCCCCTGTGTCGGTCAAGGACCTGCATTTCTAAAAAAATTCAACCCTTTCTGAAAAATTTCTTGTTTGGGTCTCCTCGAATCCTCCGTTCCCTTTACTGTACAGTATACAGTAAGAATAGACATAGAATCGCATCTAAGTATCTAACGTGAAAAAAAAAAAAAAAAACTTCTAATACAAGAGTAATAGCTAGTTTGGGAGGATGGAAATGAAAAGAAAAGAAGAGAAATGATAAGTTAGAAAAGAAAAGAAAGGATCAAAGTTTCTATCTAAATTGTTTGGAAGTTTTAAAAAAGAAAAGAAAGTGAGTAGTTTTCTTTTGTTTGGGAGTTGAATGTAAAAGAAAAGAAAAGATACTTAAACAAATTATTTTACAAATATGCCCTTTCTATAAACAAATGTGAGAAGGATTCATCGGGTATTAAAATGTTTTGTATCAGGATTTTAAGGATAATTTGGTCATATTGAAAAATTTACTTAAACTTCTGTCCGTTCCTTCCCTTTCCGCCCAACATTGGGCGGAAAGTTTTCCAAAAGATGAAGTGGAGTGGAATCTTTCCTATTCCTTTCTTTTCCTTCTCATTTTAACTCCCAAACAATGAAAAAACTTTTTTATCCCTTCAAAACCTTTCTTTTCTTTTCATTTCCATCCTCCCAAACTAGCTATAAGGGTAGATATATAATAGAATCTAACGTGTTAAAAAAAAAAAAAGAAGAAAGATAGAGTATAAAGAGAGAGATTCTCTTCTGTCCACTTGGTACCGACACAAACGCTCTCTTACAGCGCGTCCGGTATACCTTTCTTTGCTCAAGAGCCAAGCATAACGTCAGTTGATGAAGCGGATCTAGGAGTGGGCTATAAAAGCTCACCTATTTGGGCTATAACAGTACAACAATCATGGGCTTGTCACTGGTCGATATTTAAAAATCAGGCTAGTCCGCTGAGCTAATTGTTTAAGAACTTTTAACATTTCCGATACTAAACTTTCGTATTGTGGGCTCCAACAGAGAACGGGCTTGTCGTTGCAAGTGCCGTGGAATCCATTGCACTAATTAGAGTGAATAGGTATCCCAAATTCCGCTCAACCGGTCAAGAGTGACTTGCACGGTAATCATGAGATTTTCGATCTGTTTGGAGTTGCGACAGCTTATTTAAAAATACTACTCCTGTAAAGTTTTGAATAAAAATATTTATTAACTGCTAAGTGCTTTTAAATTTATTATTTGGAGAGACACAGTTTAATCAGTACTTATTGTATTAAATAATGTGTAATTTAAATTTTAAAAAAAATATCTATCTCTTTATTTGGTATAACATATAATTAAATTTGATGTTTTATTTTTTAAATCATAAAAACTACTCTAAAAGCACTAAATTTGAGCTTTTGTTAAAGTGCTTTTAACACCAAAAATTCTACTCCTAATTTTATGGGATGATATTCACCAAACATTTTAAAAGTACTTTTTAACACATAAAAGTGCTTTTTTCTTATCAAAAGCACCGGAACCCAAACGGGGCCTTAGTAACTACCAAATTTTCTGAATGACTTCAAGAACCTAATCATGTCATCATACAAGTCTTCCTTTGATCTTACACTCAGGAGGAAGTCTATGTGACCGTATTCCTCAAGAAAAAGCACCTCTGGCTGTCTTTTTAGTTCCTTCAGCGTGCGCTGCACATCAGTAACGTCAGCTAATGAATCGTTACCCCCATAAGCCATCCACAATGGTAAAGAATTCGGAATGCTGCTAACATCAAATGCTGGAGGCCAAAACCGTCCATAGCGTATCAGGTTCTTAAAGATTCCATAATCATACTTTCTGAAAGTACCTTCACGGATCACTGGAAAAAAAACACAATTCAATGGGTAGGAACTAGGAGAGTAAGAGCGAATGTATGAGAAAAAATGAGGAAAAAAGCTACACAGACTTAGCCTGATATAGCAAGTTTGAATAACTTCAGCAAACCAAAAGGCCAAAGACAATGATATCCTGCTAGTGCATACTTTGAAAAAGATGATTCAGATTCTTTGAGGATGTAGGTTGTGGTTCATATTCGAGATAGAAATTGATCCGGGAGTTGTTGAAGCAACAGTTCTTTCCTGAAAGGTTAATCCACCATTTAATAAGATACAGATGGCAATATAATAGTTTAACCATTCTAAACACTCGAATAATTACTTCCCAACTTGCTCTACAGTGCTAGATTGCTAGCAGAAAAGCAAAGCAGAAAAGTTTGTCATGAAAGGAATTTTTTTTTTAAAGGCCAAATAACAGAACATGAATAAGGACCTGTAACCGGAGTAAGCAACTCATTGCAATTCACATATTCACTGCATAATATGTCCATCATATGGGTGCTGCAGTCACTGAATAGATAACAGAACAGAAAGGATTATATAAACCGAAGATATGTGGAAACCTGACCGAAAGAAAGAGCCAAAATTAATAAGACCTTTTGAAATTAAGTTCATGAATGCCCATCACACATAACACCTGCTTAGAGAAAAATGACAACTTAAGCACACTGACAAATAAGCCCTGATGGGAATGCTCAAAAAGAAACCACACAAACCTCATCAATATGCATTTTCACTAATCTTAGGACAAAAGACGAACTTATATGATCCAAATATGAGATAGGAGAAAGAAGCGCAGCAGCTTCAACCATTGATACTATATGTGGTTGAGTAAAAGCAGCCAGAGACATTATTGTTCCCTGCAAAATAAAGCAAAGGACATCGAATATCAGAAAAACAAAAACCAACAACCAAATGAAGATATAACATATAGTTCTCAAGAGATTCAAGACCTGTGAATGACCAACAATAAATATTTTTGAGTTGGTGATGTTATAAATATAACGAGCCATTCCTTCCAGATCATACAGAGCCAATTCCTGCCAACTCCAATCCCAAAAATCCTAAAAACCAAGAGAAGAAACCATTAAAGCAAGAGGGTTCATAAAGCACATCTAGTTTATGCAAAAAGAATATTTTTGCTGCATCCCAAATCAGGACAAGACCATGCAGAAGTAACTTGTGAAATAAATTCTACACATAGAGGGGGGATGGTGGTCCACCACTCCTGCTCTTCCGAGCATTAACCATTTGATGGCTACGACTTCAAAGCAATTCATATTTATACCTTGCTTTTACCTGAGTAATCAAATCATGACAAGTCAATATATGAATGTAATTTGAAAACCTGTACTACATTACAATTTCCAACAGTTACAGAACTTAAAGATTATAACCAGATGTCAAAGACAAGCTATAAATACCTTGTCTTTTTCTGTCAGATGGACATGTCGACGACTCCAATGTGTCCCACGCACATTTCCAGCCCAAACATCAAAGCCATGATCAGCCAGGATAAACCCCAATGATTGATTTGGAGAGTTCAAGAACCAGGCATCACCTGCCTGTTATATTTTTCAGTTGCTCAATTGTTAATATACGAGACTGCTACCCAATCCTTTCTTTATATTACATTCACAAAATGGAAGGGGGGGAGGCGGGGAGGACAATTACAATTTCTGTGAGTCTAGATAAGGCTAATCATGCTTGTTAAAGATCTTTGTAATAATAAAGTAGCATTTCCTATAGATGCGAAAGCCATTTTAGCTTATAATTTTAACCAAAACCAAGATGCACGGACGAAATAATTTACAGCTTACACACTGAACTTTGACATAGTATTACTCTTACAGCTTGAATATGCACACATTTATGGAGGCACCAAAGCACTAAGAATGCTCAATTCCGATAAGCAACAAATCTAACTAAAGAAGATAGTGAACTGAAAAATAAACTTTTGTACCATAAAACAGTTTTGGCTGCACAAAGTAGCAACCGTAATGATGATTGGTAAATATCTTCCATAGAATTGGAATTTGAAAGAACGAATAGAGCTAAATTCAAATGTGGCCTCTCCACTATGATTTTTTTTTTTTTTCTAAAAAAAATAAAATAAAATAGAAATCATGTAAACAAATTATTTTAGGAGAGATTACCATCATTAGCCCGTGAAGGAGAAGAACTGGAGGACCGTATTGCCCTCTGAGATATCTGGAGTTAGATGCCACCCGCTGAAGTCCAAGCAAGTAACCATCATTTGTTTGTGCCTGGATCAACAATTCCACATTCTTAAACTAAATCACCTGCACGCTATATTTCAGAAAAATCGTCTACAGCTTAGTCACGCCTTCAATACGTAGGTAGACAAAAAAGTAAGATCAATGATTAATGAAATTTATTCATGTGTACCACTGTACACAAATACTATATTCAACAAAGAACGATACGTAGATAGAGATAGAGATTCTACGGTGTGCTCGGAGCAAGGATAGCCATAAGGTTGGATGAGGTGAGCACAGAGACCATCTGCCGGAGAATTGGGAAGGCGAATATATGAAACTCTGGCGGATTCTCCGGCTGAACTGAGGAGTAATACACTGAGCAACAAAACCGTCACCAGACGCTCCATTTTCAGGCCACTGGAGTGCGGAAAACACAGCGGAACGACGGACCAACGGGCTGGGACCTCCCGGGAGAGGAGAGTGTGGAGTCTCACAATGCTCCAGAAGAAAGATGCGTTCGCAGGAAACCGAACGAGACAGTCAAGGACCTGAGAAGCTCCGCCCCTGTGTCGGTCAAGGACCTGCATTTCTAAAAAAATTCAACCCTTTCTGAAAAATTTCTTGTTTGGGTCTCCTCGAATCCTCCGTTCCCTTTACTGTACAGTATACAGTAAGAATAGACATAGAATCGCATCTAAGTATCTAACGTGAAAAAAAAAAAAAAAAACTTCTAATACAAGAGTAATAGCTAGTTTGGGAGGATGGAAATGAAAAGAAAAGAAGAGAAATGATAAGTTAGAAAAGAAAAGAAAGGATCAAAGTTTCTATCTAAATTGTTTGGAAGTTTTAAAAAAGAAAAGAAAGTGAGTAGTTTTCTTTTGTTTGGGAGTTGAATGTAAAAGAAAAGAAAAGATACTTAAACAAATTATTTTACAAATATGCCCTTTCTATAAACAAATGTGAGAAGGATTCATCGGGTATTAAAATGTTTTGTATCAGGA